ATACAAAATAATTGACAGCAGCTGCATGTGTAAACAAGCACATGTGAGCGATGTGACTCTGGGGCGGTACAGCCACACACACACACACAAATTACTCTGCAGATAATACAGATACAGTTTGCCCTGATGAAGGCCAGAGGGACGAAACGCGTTGGCGTGATTTTAACTTTATCTGCCATGTGGTATTAAAGGATTTTGATTATTTTGTACTTCTTGAGTGCCTCAGTTTTTTCTTACTTTGTATTTAAGACTGGTCTGTACACTGAAGAGCACCAAAAAGACAATTCTGCACAATTTTGTATATCCAAGTACCTGCCCCCAAAGCTTTACTCTGCAGATAAATATTGATGCGGTGCCACATATTACAACATTTATCTGTCTGTAAATTGGATTAAATGTACACGATATAGAGTCTAAGCTTTATAATGAGGTATAACCTGCTCACATCGACTATCGGACCATATTGGCAAGATTTAGGCCAATATGTGTCTAAGTGCTCATATCGGTCGGGCCCTACTTTCTACCACTACTTTTCAAATACAATAATAAACAAAAGGACATGACTCTATTCGAAAGTACCATAGTAGCTTGACAGTACTATGCAGTGAACGTGGCTTTAGACACTTTTCTCCAGTGTAGTTTATGGAGCGAAAAACACATCTAACAAACCTCTAGTGCTCAGCTCCATTCACTCCATATAAAAAGTATAATTTAGCTGAATGAGTTGCTTCTCCTGCGTCGTCTGTCACTCCTCTGGTCAAACATAAGTGCTATAGTGCGCTGAGGTTTGGTGATGTGAGTGCCTCAGGGCTATCCTGTCTGCAGCCCTGTGTAATCCTCTCTGGCTGCTGCACAGTTGGCAACACGCTTTCACTTTTTATTTAGTAAACAACACAGACACGAGACCAGACTTTCTCTTCTAACTATTTGAGCTTGAGCTAGACAGAAAGCTGTGGTGAAGATGCTTGAAACAATTTGCAAAAAAATAAAAAGAAGAAAAAAGGCAGTAAGTAAGTTTTGAGTTCTGTCACCTGCTTGTGTCCATGAACAGTAAAGCATTAAACTTATTTATCTTGTATTTATTTAATTAAGTGTTATGATAAACATTCATACTTGGAGTGGACTTGCCTCTCTGTAACTTGGCCTTGTACAGTCATCTGCTTTGCTCCAGTGGAACAATGTGGCACCTTTTAAGAGATGTTTTTCTTTGACAATTTGGTAATTTGTGTTATCATTTGTTCATTTGTTTTTCAAAATAAAACCAAAAATAAGAAGCAAACAGAAAGAAACAGCTATTTTCTTCATTATTTGTCTCCAAAACCAAAATGAAAAAAATTGATATATAAATGAATAATGGGAAAAAAAACAGATAACGGCCGTTTCCCGTTTCCATAACTTAAACTGCGATGCCAGATTTTTGCACCACATATGGACTAAACCAGGTCTAAACCAGAAATACACCAGGACTGAACCAGTCTCAGTCCTGGTCTGGTACCTGGCTCAGTCCTGGTCTCACTTCTGGTCTGGTCTGGTATCAGTCCCGGTCTGGTCCTGGTCTCAGTCCTGGTCTCAGTCCTGGTCTCAGTCCTGGTCTCAGTCCTAAACCAGGACTAAACCAGGAGTGTCAGGATGGGCCCAGAGATGCCCAGTGTCAGGTGATCAGGAGACTGGGACTTAGTCCTGTTTTAGTCCTGGTTCAGTTTGATTTAGACCTGGTTTAGACCTGGTTTAGTCCGTATGTGCTGCATAAACTGCGATGCAGAACAAAAGTCCGGCATCACAGTTTAAGTCACGGAAATGTTTTTTCCGTTATTAATTTAAACATATACAAAAAAAAACAAATCGTTATCTGTTTTTTCATTTTGGTTTTGGAAACAAATAACGAAAAAAAAGTAGTTTTTTTGTTTTCTTATTTTAGTTTTTTATTTTAAAAAATGAATGAACGAGTGAAACATGATTATATAGGTTTGATTAATTATAGTGGGTAAAGGCATGTCAGTTATCATGAAGTTTATAGAAAAAAGATAACTGTTGTGTTTCTGCAGTAGCCTGAGTCTAACTCAGACTCTCTCTGAGTTGTTTCACACTTTTGGGGGAAAAAAAAAACCAAAAAGGTAATTTGTATCGTTTATACTACCTACTGTGATTTTATGGTGTAGATTGAAAACTGAAAAAATTTGGGCCAAAATGTGTCATGAAATGTCACTACTCTTTTGTATTATATGCATTTATACAAGTCTAGAATGGTTAATAAAAAAAAAAAAAAAAAAAGGCAAGTGAACTAAGGAAATAAGGGCAGGGGTTACTAAGTTCTTACTACTTCATTTTGCTTTGAAACTGTAGACCTTATGATACAATTGTCTTGTGAGTAGACAGAGTGAAGGCCTTGAGGATTTCCTGAAGCACTGCCCACATAATCAGTGTAGAATATACATGAAGTGCTTATTCTTGTTTTAACCAGGCATTTTCTATGGGCCAATCATCACTGACCACAAACTCCAAACATATAGACAAGAAGTACAGTTTTCTTCCATTCTCAGCCTGTCTGCTCCACCAAAGTGCTTGTTTCTGAAAGGAAAGTGGGTCATTGGGAGGAAATCCACATTTGCTAAAACAACAAGGCCCTATCTGAACCCACGACCTTTCAGCTTGAGGGCACTGTGATGTTAAGTCCAAGGCTGCTACTCCACCCACCGTCCCACTGCTTGAGTTCAGTCTGTTTGAGGACATCCAGGACACTTTTAGACACTACATGAGTCACGGCCTGGCATCTCAGCGCATGCCTTTAAAGTAGGCAGTGGATCACTATCTATATTTCTGCCACTTGTCCCATACGAATCCAGTTACTCAGCATACTTTAATAATTGCACTTTACTCATTTACGTCTTTACACTGAATAACCTAGACCCGCTGATAAATATTGAGTAGGGAAATTAGGCTAACGTATTGTCTGGATTAGAGTTTGAAGTATGTATGTGTGAGAATAAGTCAAAATATTAATATTAATGACCTCATCTAACCTCGAAAGGTAAGCAGTGTTGGACTTGGTTAGTGCTTGACAGCTGGGCATTTAACCTTTTCAGACTGACTTTATGGTATTTTTCAGACTATAAGTGGCACTTTTTTCATGGTTTGGGTGGTCCTGCGACTTATACTCCGGTGCGACTTATATATTAAAATTTTCGGACTGACAGCTGTGAGAGGGCGCTCTAATCTTGTGGGTCAGTTTTCTGCACGTCTCTGGCAGAAAAGCCACTGTCCTGCTGCAAGTAGTGAAATATGCGGCAGAAAACAGTAATCGAGCAGCAGAAAGAAAGTTTGGAGTGAGCGAGAAACTTGTGAGGGACTGGCAGAAAGCGGGAATGGAGAACACAGCTTCACAGCAGCCTTTAGGGTGCGCCATGCAACTTTCCTGGAAGTCATTGGATGACAAAGCATGGACTCCCATGACAATCGAAGTTGTGCGGAGTTGCTCAGAAGTGACACTGAGGATGAAGAATTCAGTGGATTTAGTGATTTGGAGTGAGATCGAGAGTTTGGTAAACTTATGTTCTGTTGTTTATGCTATAGTTATCTGAATAACTGTTAATACGTTACGTTAACATATTAACACCTATTCACCCTGTTGTTCTCTGTTCTATTGTTATTATTACTATAACTTGCCTTTCAAGATGAAATGTCGGTTCCTGGTCCCTGATTTTATAACATAAATTTCCCCCAAAAAGTGCGACTTATAGTCCGTTGCGACTTATAGTCCCAAAAATACGGTACTCACACATAGCTTTCCAGCCATAAAAGATAGAAACTTACTTTTTTCCCTTGTAAAACTGACAGTTGCTGCTTTCTGGCATTACTCTACGTCACACGCACGCTGTGTGATGATGTAGGAAAAACGAGTGTTCAATAGGAACTTTGTTTTCCGCCAAACACATGCGCTCCATCCATTTTCATTGACCCAAACTTTACCAAAGAGTGTAGTGAGTCAAAATGTTCGACTGCTCTGAGCATCTGTGTTTGTAACAATTTGTAAAAGCCGCTATAATGCAGTTATTTCTCAAATAAATGGCAAATTACACATCTTGGTTTGCGTAATTGTGCATCCCTTGCTATTTAGATTTTTTTGGAAGGTTTATTTCACTCAAATGTACAAATACAAATGAAAAATACACCATGGAAATGCAGGAAGTGATGTGGCTCTGTGCCCTGAACCTGACACGAGCTGTTTCCATAACTGGAACATGGAAAATAATGGGGCGATTACATTTTTTGTTTTATTTTGAGGGCAATAAGGATATTTTTGGTTTACTGACAGACTTGATATTTTGCACTTTTGTAGCTAAGGGTCTAAATTAAGTATTTTTAATTCCCAAAAAGTTGTTTATACATGTTTGCTGTGTGTTTCATATGAAAGAGTGTGAATTTTAATTTCTGTTTTTTTTTTAAATTCATTTTTTTATTTTTTATTTCTGGTCCTATAGCTTTTATTGCAGCCATATGACACAACTACAGCATGTAGATTGTGAAATAACAGGTTGTACTGAAAAAAAGGATGTATAACACTTAATTAGGAGGTAAAAGGGGGAGTTTTAATTGCAAAATTAAGAAAAAAATCCAGGCGAGGACAAATGTACTAAAATTACTTTTAGGTCCTTTTAGGAAAGGTTCAACAATACCTGGAAATATGGTTATTAGAGCTAAATGATTTGGGAAAAACTATCTAATTGCGATTTTTTTTGACCAAGGATTTGACCAAGTAATTAGGTTTATGATTTATGTTTTAATAATGGGATTCTGTTCAAAGTTCACAATTTAAAAGCGTGAGAATTGACAAAAACATGGGAATAACTAAACTAATACAAGAATCACATTTTAAAGCATATTTGTGGTCAGTTTTATGAATAAGACAATTTTGTTGTTTGCATTGACTCAGATCGTGATTTCTTTCAATTGTGTTTTATCTTGCTGCCCAGTAATACTTTTTTTTTGTCTTGTGTTTTCAGGTGCTGTTCCTGCTGCGTTCCTTTCAGTCCGATTCTCACAGACCCCTCGCATCTGAAAACGGCATCAGCTCAGCTCTCCGTCAGAGAATGTGGATCGCCTCACGGTATGTTTACCAAGATTTAAAGTATAATCAAATACCTGCCTCCGAAATCTGTACAATGAGCCCCAAGCATTACATAAGTAACAACAAATGTAGGCAAAGTGTTTTCAAGTTCCCTCACGTTCCTATATCGAGCTTGTGTGGGCAGGCTCCTGAACATAACTTTGTCAAAGCAGCTTCAAAAGTCTGTCTGAACACAGCGCTCCATCTATCAGCACACGTGTCCTTCTCCTCAGTAACTTAAGCCCCTCACACAGATAAGTGGAAGAATACAGCCCCTTGTCCCACTGCCCAAGCCCTCCTCAGCCATGTCCGCTCCACGTCCCGTCCTGGCTCCCGTTTCAAAGAGACCGCCCGCTGTCCCATCTGCCAGACCCCCGCCTCCCGCACCTCTCACCCCAAGACCAGGCCTCCAGATCGGGCACAGATTAGCGCGTGGCCCCCTGCTGCTGGTGGGAGGTCAGATGCGGTGCCTAAGCAGATAACGCGGTCCGCTCGATCGCACTGATGAGCTTTTATTAACATGACGAGGTGGATTCTTGCCCAACCAACCGCGTCTGCAGTCGCCCCGTTTGATCACTGACCAGGACGTCCCCAGATCTAAGCCAGGTCAAAGGAGAAAGAGGAGGGCAGGGGTTCGCAATCTGTGATCTGGAGATTGATGGTTACACATAATGATGAGTTCTGATCAGTTATTGAAGTACTGGTAATATTTAGAACAAGGGGTCATCAAACTCCGGCCCGCCACTTACCTTTGATCGGAGCCCCACCACTGGCCCTATCAAGCAATCCTCAAAAGTTGTCATGGCCTATTTTTTTTTATTACTTTTTGACAAATAATAACACATCTGCATCTTGTATTTTGTAGAGTTTTTCGATTAAAAAAATTATATTTACTGTATGTGAAGCATTTATATGTAACTAATTATCTGACGTATTTATTTTATTTATTTGCCGCCAGATTTTCCTCCCCTGACCAGCTCGAGATCAAACAGTGACAGTCAACGCACACAGAGTTCTGTAGTGCAGTTAAGGACAGAGAAATTGCGAGTGTTAAAGTACGAAAAGTTGACACAGAGTGAGAGAGGTTTTAAAAATCCGTGTATCATTCGTTCATTTGTTTTTCAAAATAAAACCAAAAATAAGAAAACAAACAAACAAAAAGCTATTTTCTTCATTAATTGTCTCCAAAACCAAACTGAAAAAAAAAAAAACTTTTAATGATTTGTTTTTTCAGTTTTTGATTTTGTGTTTAAATTAATAATGGAAAAAAAAAAATGGATAACAGCTGTTTTCCGTTTCCATGACTTAAATTGCGATGTCGGACTTTTGCACCGCATATGGACTGAACCAGGACCGAAACAGGTCTAAACCAGGTCTAAACCGATGGCAGTCCTAGTCTGAGTCCCACTCTGGTCCCGATCTTGGTCCTGGTCTGGTCCTGGTCTCAGTCCTGGTCCTGGTCCTGGTCCCGGTCCCGATCTCAGTCGTAAACCAGGACTAAACCAGGACTAAAACAGCAGTGTCAGAAACAGGAAACAACCTTTATCCGATTTGTCCATTATTCATTTAAACATAAAATCGAAAACTGAAAAAACAAATAAAAAAATAATTATGACCAAAAAAAAAAATTAAATCAGAAGAAATTTTTATTTTATTTTATTTTGAAAAACGAATGAATGAATGATACACAGATTTTCATAGAACAGTGGATGACCGATTATTTTTTTGTTCAGCCTAAGGACCATGTAGTTTGTCTTTTATGTAAAGAAACTGTGGCAGTTTTCAAAGAATATAATCTGCATCGTCAGGGTCATGCGATTCTGTTATATGGCCGACTCGACCCCGCCCCCCAACACAGTCAGGAGAGATAATGTGGCCCCCAGAGAAAAAAAGTTTGGTGACCCCTGATTTAGAATGTGGTTATCAAGACAAAATTTTATATACCTGAAGTTGTGTTTTTAAGTTAACAACTTTCACCTGAATTCCAGGGCTGAAATTATCCAGATGATTCTAGTGAAGGTGTGTGGAGTTTAAAAACACAGAGCACTTCCTGTATTGCCACATGACATCACAAGGTGGAACAAAGTTTTCAGTTTGAGAGAACAACTCAGCCTAAATATGCAGGATTTGTGTGTTAATTATGCATGAATGACAAAACACAGATCAGAAAATAACATGATATGGGCTCTTAAAAAAATTCTCTTGAGTCATTTTTGGATCTTTTATTTTCATTGTCATCTCAGTGTTGAGAATTAACACCTGTGTCCCGTCAAAGCAACTGGTTTCATGGAGCAACAGGTGAATTTTCATAACTTGGCCTCATACAGTGTGTAGTGTTTATTGTGAGGATTTACACTGCTTTTCAGGAGTACAGCTGCAGGCGTCTGATACAAGTGCCCTGTGTGTCCTGACAAGTAGTTCTACAAGTATTTAACAAGGGTCTACCTCATAAATCTATTTAGATTTAAGGTTGCAATCGCAGCTTAATATGGACGTGTGTGTATTTATAGTTACTGCTTTAAGGTCATATACAGTATGTATTATTCTCACTTTCAAGGTGAGGAGCCTTTTTTATCCCAGGGGCAGTTTGGTTTACAGCAACAGTGCACAAACACATAACTACAACTGAGCAAAAAAGGAGTTTAAATAAGGTTAAATACAGTAAAGACAGTAACTACTATCTAAAGTTGAGATACAATTGAAAGAAATTTGAGTACCGTAATTTTCAGACTATAAGTCGCACCAGCCAAAAAATGCATAATGAAGAAGAAAAAAACATATATAAGTCGCACCAGACTGTAAGTCTCACTTTTTTGGGGAAATTTATTTTATAAAATCAGAGACCAGGAACCGACATTTCATCTTGAAAGGCAAATTATAATAATAACAATAGAACAGAGAACAACAGGCTGTTAATGTCACAGTTCTTCAGATAACTATAACAGAACAGAACAAGTTTACCAAACTCTCCATCTCACTCCAAATCACTAAATCCATTCAATTCTTCATTCTCAGTGTCACTTCTGAGCAACTCTGCGACCTCCGGAGGTAAACAAAGAATTATTCTGGCCTTTCTGAATCCCGACAGGATGGTTTCGGTGTCACTGAAGTCCAGGCTTTGTCGATCCATCCAGTGACTTCCAGGAAAGTTGCATGATGCATCCTCACAGTTATTGTGAAGCTCACTCCAAACTTTCTTTCTGCTGCTCGATTACTGTTTTCGACTGCTTATTTCACTACTTGCAGCAGGACAGAGGCTCTTTCTGTAGGAGACATGCGCAGTAGAGCCAAGTGACAGTGGTACAGGAGTAATAGGAGTATAAGTCACAGGACCACCCAAACCATGAAAAAAAGCGCAACTTATAGTCCAAGTTCAGTATGGCACTGAATGTTGATACTTTGAAATCATAGTGGAGCACTTTCTGAAGTGTTTTATCATCATTAATAACGGCTAAGTGTTGCTCACAGTTCAGATTTGTTATCTGCTAAAGATGAAATAATCTTCAGGAAACATTTTATTATTGCGTTTTTTTGCTGTTATTCAAAAGTATCCCACATTTTTTACGCTATACTATGTCATATATGCAGCTTCTACTACTACTTTGACTTTTTTTTTGGTTTTGTTTACATTACAAAACCAAAATGTAATGGCAAATCTTCTGTGGCTTCTCAGAACTCTTTTTCCACTGTGATGTGAGCCAGCAGTTCTAATATCTCAAGTATTAGTGGATTGTTAATTTGTGCTCAGAAATTACAGTAATGTTATAAAAATGTTTATCTTATCTTTTCTCGTACTCCCTTGTGCACAGACTTTTTAAGGAATTGTTTTGTCTGTTTCTGACATTTCACCCACAACACAACACAATGCTATTCGTTGGTTGTTGAATATATCGAATTAAAAATAGCCCGACTAATCCCTTTAAACCTCCAGGCGTTCTGTGATGTCTTAGCAGCGTGTGTGGCGAGTGTTGAGTTTATGTGCGCGCTCAATCAAGACTGTGACCGCAGCGCAGCCCCAAGCCACAAGAGGGAGAGAGAACAAGGGGGCAGTGTGCAGGCCTGACGTCATCTTTTCATCACTATCATATTAATAACACACACAATCTATACACGCACTATTTAAGGGGCTCATATTACTCTGTTTTCTGATCTGTGTTATTATAGTGTTTCCTCATCAAAACATACTCGGAGTTGTGTTTTGTTTCATTCGCACATGTTTAACTCACAAAACCCTGCGTCTTTAGGCTTTAGACTCTGAGTTCAGACTTTGAGAAACAGAAAACACTCTGTTCCACCTTGTGATGTCATGTGGTTATACAAGAAGTGCTCTGCTTCATACACAGGCTAGAGACGAGGGGTGTGCAAAAATATAGAAAAATCGATATATCGTATTGTTTCATGTGATGATACAGTATCGATATTGGGGACTACTGTATCGATATATCTCCAAAAGTATTTTTTGATATATTTTACTAAATTATTTTGTTACAGCACTATAGTTTTGTTGCTTGTTTAGTGGAAGGAAACTCATTTTGTGCAACACATTTGACATTTTCACTGTTTTGAGGATTAAAATGTTTGTGTTTTTCATATTAACTTTGCACAAGAAGTAGTTTAACAAAGACTTTTAGTATCACAGCCATCATTTAACCATTATTTTTTATTGAACTGTATCAAATCAATTTGAAATATACTGAATCAAACCCAAAGTATCGAGATATGTGTCGTATTGTGGCCCATGTATCTGCAACTTCTTAATGATACCCAGTCCTACTAGAGACTAGAGTAATTTTGATCATTTTCATCCTGGAATTGCTCACCTCTGCTGAAAAAAAAAAAAAAGGTAATAGGTAGCTGTTAATGTGAAAATTACCACTACATGACATCACAAAGTGGAACAGAGCATTTTGAGCTTTGTAGTTGTAGACAGACTAATAATAAAGGATTACTCAAACATGTGTGAATGAAACAAAACACAACTCTGGGTATATTATTGAGGAGGTAACAACATTCTAACATGACTAAAAAGCTCACAGGGGTCAATTTTGTGAAATATAGAACCTTAAGGTACACTGATTTAGACAAGGGCTGGGTATCATGAAGAAGTTGCCAATACGATACATACCTAGATACATAGGCCACAATACGATACATATTTCAATACAGTGCACTTTTGATTCGATTTGATATATTTCAAAACAATTCGATACAGTTCAATAAAAAATAAAGTCAAAATCATGGCTGTGATTTTTGTACAAAGTTCATATGAAAAACGCCCATTTTACTCATCAAAACAGTGAAAATGTGTCACATAAACGGGTTTCCTTCCTCTAAACAAGTAACAAAATGTAGCGCTGTAACAAAATAATTTAGTAAAATACACCAAAAAAAATTCTCGTAGCGATATATCGATACAGCAGCCCACGATATCGACACTGTATCATCACATCAAACAATATTTCAATATTTTTGCACTCCCCTACTTTAGAGGGATGTTAATAATGATAAAGTAATTTTTATTAGGGCTGCACGACGTACCACAAAGGTATTAATGCAATTTTGGATGATAATTGATCGTCTTGTATGTAAATGTTAATAAAGTCAGGCTTATTTAAGTCAAAAATTAAGCTTGATTTAGATTTTTTGACAGAATTTCAGTAGCTCCTTAAAGCCATCTCTTTTTTTTTTCTTATTTAAATATGACAAAAATATCAAAATCACAGTTCTTAGTAGGTACATATCGAAGCATTTTCAAATAATGTGCTGGCTTACCGTAGTTTTTATTCCGATATCCTGTGCTTCAAATGCTCCTCGCTGTTTTTTTTTTTTTCTCAGCTTTACAGAGCAGCTGGCAGCTTTTATAACATCTCCCTTACATCACTTTGCATTATGACCTAATAATCTGACAGCATTAGCTCACATCGACACCCCCTCCTTCTCCCTGAGAATTTACCCCCTCAACCGCAAGGACCCCCCTCTCCCCGTCCCGCCTCGGTGATGTTTGGGGCATGCAGAATATGTCCTACTACTACTACTATTACAACTACTGCCGTTATTTTACTTATTTTTATCTATATATTTTGGTTTTGTTTATATTACAAAACAAAAATGCAATGCCAAATTTTCTTTTTCTCACAACTCTTTCTAGTACAATGTGAGCCAGTTTCTAAGTAATGCTTTTCTTGGTACCCGTACAATAAGATAAATAACCAAATTGCAGTTGCACTCCAAGAAATTATCTAGATAGACGTCAAACTAAAATCATGGGACACACATTAATCTTAAAATCTTAAATTAAAATAAGTAAATAAAGTGCCCTCCTAAATCTTCATTGTTTACCACAGCAGAAAACAGAAGCGTGATGATCAGGAGAGCGCAAAATACGTCATAGAAATCACATGTTGTCCAACCAGATCTCAGACTCGCTCATTTCCAAAAGAGACATTTTACTGGATTTGAAAATGATCTAATATTCTGTGCTGGGAAGACTGTTCATTTGCAACAAAAGAAAAGTACACTGTGTAACTTTTCTTCTGGGGAGTCTGCCACCTACTTGTCTCCATGGAATACGCCAGTAAATCTGTTTATTTTGCATTTACTCAAGTACAGGTTTTATATTAGGGATGGGCATGATTAGTCGATTAATCGATAATTGAGCAATAAGAATTTCATCGATTACGTTCATTTTAATCGACAAACCAAATGTAGGTTGCTGTATGTAGCGTAGGGAGACCAAACAGGGGTCCGTACATGTAGGTCTCTGCACTCAGAAGGAGCGAGCAAACACAAACCGTCGGTCAGTCTGCAACGTGCCGAAGCGTAAATGCGTATTTAACGATGACTTGTACAAGAAATTCCACGCTTTCCATTCCGGTTGGGACAAGTGTGAGGCCATGAGCACAGGGAAAAAGCTCACCAGGACACCGAAAACACGAAAAACCTTTGCCAGGTGAGAGTCGTGCAATGTCGCTGACGAGTCCCCACCTCCCACCTCCCGCACGGTGTCCTGGTTTTGACAAACGCAAATATGGTCACACTAAACTGTATTCCACTGAGTTATGTCCTTCAATCCGACAGAAGTTGACCGCATCAGCGCACAAGAGCAGTTTTTTTCCTATAAAAAAACGTTAATGATTAATCGATCGTCGGGAGAATTAACGATCGATTAAGAAAATTTAATCGAATGCCAATCCCTATTTTATATGTGTTTTTATAGCTGAAAATACTGTGAATAACATAATTTCTTACTGGGGTGGGGCTTGCCTCTCCACAGATCTGACCTTTAACTGGACCTGCTGGCACCACTTTCTTTTCTGCACAGAGTTAGAGAAAGAGAAACATAAATATATCAAATGACAGGCCCTCTTGTTAAATAGTAAACCTTTACACTGTTTCCTCATCAAAAACATATCCAGAGTTGTGTTTTGTTTCATTCTCACATTTGAGTAATCCTTTATTATTAGTTTGTCTCCAAAGCTCAAAACCTTGTGAAGTCATGTGGTGGTAGTTTTTAATAGAGACTGACAATTCCAGATCTGAAATCATCCAAATGATTCAAAACACAGTGGAGTATTTCATGCATAACCATATAACCACAAGGTAGAACAGAGAATTTTCCAGTTGAGCGAAGAACTCAACCTAAATATTCAGTGTCTGTGTGTTAAACATGTGCAACTGAAACAAACCACAATGTTTTTGATGAGGAAATAACAATATAACATGGGCCCTTTAAGTAATCTGCAACACAGCAAAAATCTCTTCAAAATGCCTTTTCAGTAACACTCAGTTTTATTTTCAGACAGAACAGCTGTTTTGTGACCAGAGGAGCGTTTTTGGACGTCCTGACCTGTCTGTGTGGGCCAAAGATCAGTCTGTTGGAAGGTGAGTTCTGGCTTTTCCACCTATGGTTTTGTTTTGTTATTGCTAAGTTATTTATGTGTTTCTATGGAGACGCCAACTGCTGCTGTGAAAAATGTCCAAGGCTTTATTTTTATTCTTTGAATATTTTTGTGGTGACCTGGTGCAACCTGTGTTTTATAATGTCTGTTATTATGCCATTTATGAACTCTCTGTTTCACTCATTCTTAATAGCTTTAAAGTGGGTCTGTGGCATTATCCCAATCTTAGAAATGAGCAGAGTGGCATCACAAGCAAATCAAAGACACTATATTCACCAAAAAGGCAAAGTTGTGAGCGAATGTAGAAAATACAACAAAAGACCTATGACTGATCTAGAGTTGCGATACAAACATTACAAACTGTTTTTAAACCATGGAAAAGCTCAATATTGATGTTAATACAATAATGATAAAGTATATAAAAATGACAATAGAATGTAATTAACAACATAATAATTGTAGTTTCGTTATTGTTATCAGGTGGTCTTATACTAGTTCAGAGAGTTCAAGCTCAAATGTATAGTATAGTCATAGTCTTATTTATTCTTGTCTGGACGAGTTTAAATTTTAGTTCTTTTACTATCTGAATATTGATACTTTTGTCCACCCATGCCAAATTAATTACCAAATTACTAAAAGCCCAAAGGTATATATTAATTCTTAAGATCAACCCTTTTTTTTAAGATTAAAGACAATAACAGACATAAAACATAAAATAATACAATAAAATACTAAAATCACTAAATAAAAACCAGCACAAAAAGGGCTGTAGTTGTTTAGTCTATTATTTACAGTCGATTAATCAGTCAATGGTTTCTTAGTTGACCCAAATGTGGTCCACTGATTATTTTATTTAGATTATAATGATTTGTTTGGGACAACAGCGGAAAGGAGAAGTTAATGAGTGAGTGAGGGAGTGAGTATTGTTTAGTATTTATATTTAAAACGGCAGATTAAACTGATGATTCACAAGTTAAATTTGGCTTTGGATGAAGAAAAAAAAGGTAGAGCGCTTCACTGGGTCGTTAAAAGAGTAAAAAAATAGCAGTACAGGTGCTCTACGAGGGTTAAAACAGTGGTCTTAGAACAGAAAATTGCCGTTACTGAAAAATGTAAGAATGGTAAGGTACAAATCCGAGGCACTCCGACTGAATATATTAAAAGTCCTTTATTGCATGAAGGAACCCCAACGCGTTTCGACCAGCAAGATAGTCTTCGTCAGGGCAAAGTGGTGGATAATTTGGCTTTATTTTAAAAAAAAAAATTCCTAGTACTTTTTCTGTATTAATAGTTGTTTTTGCATAAACTGTCGTGCAGGTTGTAGTCTTGTGAATACATATTATCTAAGAGCTTTTGCCACTCCCTATTTTTAGTCGAATAATCGATTGGCACGACATGTCTTCAGTAAACTAAGAATGTCTTTAGTGGACTACAGACTCAAACGCAGCACATTTTCGCAGATACAATATTACCACTAATCTAACGTGGACACAGAGCCTTAGCAGTGTGTCTCCTGGATCCACCTCTCGCTTCTTTCCGTTCTTAGACAAAGCCCACAGTTTGTCTTTCATCGTGTGCCATCTTCTCCTCTTGTTTCTTACTTTGCTGACGCAGCTCTTTGACACCAACTGTCTCTCCTCCATTTGCTCTGAATGCGACTGTGATGGGGCGGCAGACAGGAGCGTTTGTCCACCTCCTCGCCTCCCCCCTTTTAGCCCAAATGTTGACAGAAGCCCCGGACACTTCGCTGGTGGAATGTGAAACCGTAGGATATGTTTGACAGATGGTAGGATCGCGCCTATGACCCACTTTATGGGGCAGAGGAGGAGAAGAAAGGGCCCAAAGGTAAAGAAAGGGGGTAAAGAAAGGTAGAAGGAGCGAGAGGAGAGGGAGAAGGCCAGAGAGAGGTAAAGGGGGCGAAGAGAGTGAGAGGTAGAAAGAGAGAAAGGAGAGAGAGAGAGAGCCAGAGGGGGTAGAGGAGGTGCCTGTATTTTCGGACCATGTGCTGAGCATATGCTGGTCTTGACAGTGGAAATACCGAGGATTTCTCAAAACAAGGCGGCCCCTTACATAACTAAACAAGCCCGCGCTTCTTTTAACCCACACACCGCTGCTTTCTTTACCACTCAAGTTCATACAGCTCTGTAATAACGTAAAACCACGCACTCATTGATTAGTCCGTTGCCTTTTGTGCTCTATTATTTGTGAACTAAACACTGTTGAGCTATTTCTCGTTGGAAGAATCCCGTGAATGGAAATGTCTATTCAGTTTAAGAGACATTTTTGCTTCACACTGACACTGATCGCTGAAATGTATAACAAGTAGGGGTGGGACGAGACACGATTTTCACAAGACGAGACACAACATGAGATTAGGTCGAAGAGAACGAGACAAGACGAGATTTTGACGGAATGTGGTATAAATAAGCAGTGCAAATCCATTTCACAATTCACTGTTTTCTTTTATTTTATGTAATACTTTAGCGGTCTTTGTAGTACTGCTTTTCTGAACTACAGCTTGGTTTTTGGTCCAAGATGGTGTTTCCTAAACTTTTTTTCTGGGGTCCCATATTTTAAAAGTCTCAAACCTTTGCAACCCAAGTCAATAGACATCATTTGTAAATTAATTGTAAAATAAATGTGGATTTGAACATTATTGAACATTAATGAGGATATTTTATTGTTGACTGAGTGTTTATGTCTCTCTGAACAATTAGTATTACTCAAGTTTTAAACAATGAAAAATTTAAGCAGCAATAAAAGGATCCATAAGTTGACATTAAAGGTGACCCCAAAAAAAATCTCGCTACCCAGTCTTTGGGAAACAGTGGTCTAAGGTAAATGTAAAATCAAGGTGAAAAAAACTCAAGAAATCATTTTTCTTGTGTATGCACAGTCCTGTGTCAATTTTGTCTTGTGGCACGAGATTTTGTCACATCCCTAATAGTAAGATTTAAGTTTTCAACCTCACAAAACCCATCTACAGTAAAAGTCAAAATATTTCTTTCTAATTAAATACTGCATTTATATTGTCAAAATCAAATCAATACAAAGTTATAGAAAAAATGTTAAAAAGGCATGATGCTACATATTTATTTTGCCATGTAATCAAATCAAATCAAATCAAACTTTATTTATAAAGCACTTTTCATACAAAATGCAACACAAAGTGCTTTACAGTGATTAAAACAGTCCCGCATTTCCAACCACCCAACCACCCACCACCCAACCCCCGCACCCCCAACCCCACATAGTCAAACAACCCAAACACACACTCACATACACACAAACATGCACACACACACACACACACACACACACACACACACTCACACTCACACGCTAAAATACATAACCGGACACAATAAAATGTGAGGCTGAATATAGGTGAACCAGTTGAGGAAGCACCATCAGAGGAGCCGTCTGCACCGGGAGCAGAGAGACGTCCACCACCACCAGGAACCACCACAGGAGCCAGGGGAGAGATGAAGCCCAGGCACCTGAGGCCCAAGCACCATCCCTCCACCAGGAGCCCACATGACAGACCCAGCAGCCATGACCTCCACTCCTGATGCAGAGGCTCCTACAGAGGAAACACTGGAAATCCTAAAAAATATGCCTAAGATAAATAAATATAGTAAAATGTGTACAATAAAAACAAGTAAAAGTATAAGATTTCAATCAAAAGCTAAGCTAAAAAGGTGGGTCTTGAGCCTGCTCTTAAAAACATGAACGTTCTCTGCAGCCCTGAGCTCCTCCGGCAGGCAGTTCCATAGACGAGGGCCATAGTGCTGAAAAGACGCCTCTCCGTGAGTGTGTGTCCTGACTTTGGGAATGACCAGGAACCTGCTGCCAGAGGAGCGCAGGGTCCGCGAGGGTTCGTAAGGTAAAAGCAGTTCTGAAAGATAAGAGGGCCCAAGACCATTAAGACATTTAAAAAACCAGTAAAAGAACTTTAAAATCGATCCTGAAACACACAGGGAGCCAATGCAGTGATTTTAAAACCGGTGTAATGTGGTCCCGCCCTCTGGTCCTCGTCAGGACACGTGCTGCTGAATTTTGTAATAATTGCAAACCTGAAATACTCTTTTTGGGAAGACCAGAGAGCAGGGCATTACAGTAGTCTATTCGACTGGTGATAAAAGCATGCATCAGCGTCTCGGTGTTGGCCAGAGAGAGAATGGGGCGGACTCTGGCTATGTTTTTTAGGTGATAAAAACCAATTTTTGTGATGTTCTTAATGTGTGGGATAAAAGTCAGCTCAGAGTCAAAAATGACGCCCAGGTTTTTCACTAGAGGAGATGGGTTAAAGGACTGTGTTTGGAATTTGGGTAAAAGTTTCTCTCTCTGGGCCTCAGGACCAATGACTAAAACCTCAGTTTTGTCCTGGTTAAGCTGGAGGAAGTTTTCTACCATCCAGGACTTAATTTCTAGAATGCAGTTAAAAAGGGCATCCATTGGTCTGGTGTCATCAGGAGACATGGAGATGTAAAGCTGCGTAATGAAGCCTTCTGAAGTTTTTTTTTGTTAATTCCAGATATTTAGCCACAGCTAAATAAAATGTTTAGCAGATTTAAAATGTCAGATTTAAAAATAGCCTAATCATTTGTTTTAATATCGTAAAATAATGTCTGAAACTCCTCCACAGTACAGCAGCTTTAGAACAGACTGTCTTTTCACTCCAGTGCCAGTCCCAAACCAAGACGAAGTGAAAAGCTTTATGTTAGGAAGAGTATTTTATATAAATCAAATTCCAAATCGAGAAGCAAAGACTGCACATTTCAAAGCAAATCGTGTATTTTTTTTAGTCTCTGGTCTCTTTTCCCAGTTGTCATAAATCAGACAGTTAACAGACACTGACCTATAATAACTTGAGAATCGCTAAACTGACCTAGTTACATTTTATCTCTGAATACCGATGCAGATCAAAGCTCCAGGTCTCTGGTGGAGTAAACAGGTTAAGTAGTTGTAAACGGCGCTCAC